GATCTAGAACAGTGATTCTTCACTTTTATTTTTTGCCATGGACCCATTGATAGTCAGGTGACACCTAAAGCCAGAATAATGTTTTTAAATGCAGAGAGTCAAATATACATGATTGCAAAGAAAACTAATTATGTTGAAAAACAACGATCGAAAATATTAGAAAAAAATAAATTTGTGGTATAATAATACATGTGTTTCATCATTAATGCATTAAGATCTAGCAGCAGTTCTAACGACCACAGTAGTTTTGAAGAAATGACGAGTATACATGACATTTTGAGATGCTGCAACCCTTGTAATGTGATACAACGGCATCAATGTCTGTGATTTCCCTCGGTGACAGAGTCAAAGGTACTGCTAAGCTTCCTGTGAGTAGTTGCCTGCAGTCATAATTACAGGAAGTTAGTGAAAAACCAAAGAGACATTTTTCCCCTTTAGGTTCATGAACTTATATAAACCACAGGTTACGAATACTTGTGTGGGGGTTTAAGTGCAGCACAGGAGCTTTGGGCCATCTTGCATAAACAAATGTGGGTGCATGTATACACACACACACACACGTTAGTATACATGCATCACCCACGCATGATAATTTTGCACTTATGCCTGAAATAGATCAAACAAGCTATTTAAAGCTCTAGTCTTTGCAGGATGAACAAAGTTAGCCAGTATTAGCATTTAAAGACAGCGCAATGTGCTTTGGTAATCAGTGAGACCAAGGGTAGGTTCAAGGTGGAAAATAAAGGCGTCTATTTAAGACACGTTACTGGCTCCTTGGACCCAGCACTTTCACACTTCCTTCACCAGCAGAGCTGATCTATTCCAGAACACGCGCACACAGGCGAGAGAAGGCCACGTTCAGCAACATGGAGCATCGTAGCATTAATTTTGGGCTGGAAAGATTTCAAAGCAGGTGTTACCAGTTACCCACTGAGACCCTAAAAAGCCCAATAAATAATGATAGCAGTGTTTTCCAAAGCATGTTCTTCAAAACATGTGTCTTTGAGAAGATGTTCGATAAAAAATTTTTTTTTTTTTTGTGGTCAAGTGAGTTTGAGAAATTTTGCATCCTAAATATCTCCTCTAGGTAATTTACAGCATATTAGCAGTGCTGAGAATATATTGGTAAAGAAATCTGTTTCATTTTGTTTAACTCTGTAATATCCTACCCTCATTGTGCATCTGAATCTCCTGGTGAGCCTTAAAGAAATACTTAAAAAGGATTATTCACCACTCAGAGATTCTGATTTAACTGGTCTATGTTGGAACATCCGGTTTTTGCTTGAGTTCCTTTGGTTGAGGGGCACCAGTGAGCCCATCATTTTTAAAAGCTGGCTTTACCAAAGACCTTGTATTAGGTTCCTAGGGCTGCCATAACCATTTACCACAAACTGGGTGGCTTAAAACAATAGGAATGTATTCTCTAACTGTTCTGCAGGCCAGAAGTCTGAAATCAAGGTGTTGCCAGGACTAGACTCTCTGGTAGGTTCTAAGAGAGAATCTGTTCCATGCCCCTTTCCTGGCTTCAGGGGCTGCTCAGCGATCCTTGGCTTGCAGTTGCATCATTCTGTTCTCTTTGTTGTGACACGGTATTCTGCCTGTGTTTCTCTCTCTTTTCTCATAAGGACATTTGTCATGCTGGGTTAAGGGCCCATCCTACTCCTTCCGGTATGCCCTCATCCTAACTTGACTACATCTGCAAAGACTCTTTGCTTTTTTCAAATAAGCTCACATTCACGGGTACTGGGGGTTAGGACTTCAGTATATCTTTCAAGGGGGCTCAAATCGACCCCTAAAAGACTCCCCCCCCCTTTGTGAAAAAGCCTTGAGAAATACTGCCCACTAGAATTTTAAATTTTGAGCAAGGTAGCTTCCTGGTAAAACCACCAGGATGAATTATTTACACATTCTATTCCCTGGTAACTGGACAATCTGAACTGCGGTAAAGAATTGTTGGGGCAAGAGAATGCCAAAGGATATTTTCCTGGGAAGATGATTTTGGTTTTCGAGTGGTTGATCTCAAGCCATTCTTTCTGACCTGAATGAGCTTTCCAGACAGATTGTCTGTGGCGGCCACGCCCACTGTGGATAATAAACAGCTATCATCCGGCGGAGGAGGACACTTACCTATCTGCTCTCGACAGCAGGCAGGCCTGACGCCAACGCATCCCAAAGTGGTAGCAAGTCATTTAGGTGCATGTTCAAAAGAACAAGACCCAAAATATATCTCTGTCTCACAGTCCTTAAAACCATTATCTCAGCTGCAAGGAGCTGAATCCTATCAACTGAATCTCTGTGTAGTCTTTAAGGGTCTGTGTTCTTTACCTCTTTCCACTGTATTTCTCTGAAAATAATAATGATGTTTGCCTTACACCATTGCTAGGAGGATTCAATAAGATGCAGTAGGTCAGAGTGCTTGTAATTATAAATTCAGGGAAGAACAGAGTCATTAGAAGATGATAGAATCAGCTTCAATGTTGGTGTTATTCTTCTTCTTCTTAAAGAGAATAAAAGTGATTAGCAACATTGGCTTTGGACAACATTATGAAGTCAAGTTCATGGCTGAGTGCCTGCCCACTTCCCATTCGACAGCATTTCTCTCCCTAAATCTTACCTGCCCTTGCTAAATGTGGCTCTGTGGTTGACCTGCTGATGTGAGTTTGTGTGGTTCTGGCGTATAAAATGGAACTGCTGATTTCAACAGCCCTGTTATTAGGGTCAGAGGAGGGCTCTGGTTAGAAAACAGGAGGAAGCAACTCCTTCCTGTAATCACAAGACTGAGCTCTTGGCAGGGGCTGCAGAGAGGGGGAGGCACACGGCAGATGCCCTGCTTGCCCTTGGAGAGAACTTTCTTAGAAGCTCAGACCCTGAGAATCCCTCTGGGCTCTGGGAGGGGAGAGGTTAGGGGTGCTGGAGCCCCAGGGAGGGGGAGTATAGGCAGGAATAAAGAATGCCAGGACCAGGCACTGCAGGAAGTAGTGCCCCCTCTCCTGCTCTGGGGGGAGGGGGGTCATGTCTTTACTGTCTTTCAGTCAATAATATTTGGAGATGGATTTATTTATTATCTCAAGAGCCTTGGGAACCTTACAGCTCAGTTGTAAGTCCTAGTCCCATGATGCCTACCCTTAAGCTTTCTCCATAACAGGTCCCTGGTTAATGTCATGTGGATTTCAGGCTATACAGACCTATTAGGTGTTGCAGGAAAGAAGAGGAAGAGATGGCATCAGTGTATGGGGTGCTACCGGGGGCTGTATAATTGGAGAAAATGAACGATCTGAGCAGCTACCAAGAGAAGGCAGTGTGGTACCAAGGATTTGGGTTTGCGTTCTAATTCTGCCACATACTATCTGATCACATGCAGGTCTTGCTACCTCTCTGAGCCTTGGTTTTGTTGACTGTAAAATGAGGAGGCTGATATCACAATACCTCATAGGACTGCTCTGGGAATGTGTGAGGATATGTAAGGGTGGTGCTGTTTCTTCATAAACGGTGAAAGGATGGACGATGATGATGATTACTGTGCAAGGTGGACATGCTCAGTGCTATTATAATTAACTGTGTGTTTGCCTTGAAGTGACACACACTGCTGTAGACTAGCTCTTGCATCTGGGAAGTGTGTAAACATGTCACACGGGAAGTGTCAGCATGCTACACAACAGGGAACCCGGTCTAGCTTAGAGTTCAAGAAGTGAGTTCCCTCCAAACCCAGTTGAAACTGCCCTCACAGTGCTAACGCAGAAGAGAGAGGGGAGCTGTCAGAAACCCGACAGAGATCTCTTGTTAGAGAAACAGGGAGCTTGGTGGGTGTCGAGTGGCCACTCCCACCACAGGGAAGCAGGCAGCCAGCAATTTACAGTGAATGGGAAGGAATTAGATGGTGCAAACTGAGCGCTAAGGAGAGTGCCAGTGGCCAACCTGCTGGGTCACAGCACGGAGGGCCCTGAGGGAAGAGAGGCCCCTCTGGCTCCAAGGACAGCCCTGTGGGAGCTGTCCACAAGAGGATCTGAGTGGTAGGACTCTTCCCTCCACCACACTGACCAGGTGGAGGAACTGGAGACAGATGTCTGAATTTCTGTCTGGCCTCGTAGTTCGCTTTGGACTGGTGTGTGTTATAAATGAGCCCGGTTTTCCCTCAGAGTTTGTGTAAAGTCATTTTTGACCAATCTATTTGTCATTGTCATAAAATCCTAAGAGACAAATCTGCATATATATTGTGCTGTGTGAACCTGACCTGGTTGGAGGCTACTGAGAGTCAAGCTTAAGATTCTAGTTCCTTAGAGTTCCAAAGTTCCTAGTTCCAAAGAGGGCCAGGCTGGGTAAGGGGCTTCTCCGAGAGCATGTCATTGTAGACTGACTCATTATTGCCTGGGAGAGCCACTTGTCACAGGATAATGGAGGCACAGAGGGTTAGAAACACAAGAAAGAGCCATTGGCTCCATGGAGGATGTGGCACTGGAGCGAGCTCTTAATTCAAGGGGGCTGAGCTTAGGTCGGGAGAATGGAGTGGGTTACAGGGCAGACGGAGTAGGGGTGGTTTGGGATGGGACTCAGGTGACTCAGAGGCAGGAGTGGGATGGTGACAAACGGCAGGAAGAGGAGACAGGGGGACTGGGGAACTCCTGCCTTGTTGAAGGCTCTACTGGGGAGGCGCAGAGGCTGGGGTCTTCCCCAGACAGTGACGGCGCAGCAAGAGGGGCAGGGCGGACTGATGGAGCCAAGCCTCTGCGGGCAGAAACACAAGGCCTTCCAGCCCCGCTCAGAGCTCTTGGGTAGGACACAGCCATGTCCCCTCCCCGCTTCCCGGCTCACACGCATCCTCCAGGCTCATCCCCGGGACTCTCCTGCTCTGCTAATAAAACAGGACTACGCATTTTTCTGGATTTGCCAGAGGGCGCTCTTTAAACTTTGTAACTGCAGAGCATTAGCATTTCTGCTAAGCAGACAGGGTAAGAAATCCAACGACCGGAACAGGAAGTGAGGAAGAGCAGCGCCCGGAACAGGAAGTGACGGAGAGCTCTGCGCCGGCTGTTCCAGGAACGGAAGCGCAGACCCATCGGAGGCCTCTCGCTGCTGTGGGGCGGCTTTGCTCTCTGTGTCCCCGCCTGGGCGAGGAGAGAAGAGTGGACAGGGTGTGGCCAGATGAGGCCTCCGGTTCCGGAAGACTGAGTGTCGATGTCCCGGCCCCTTGGTGGCGAGGGAGGACTCGGCTGCTCTGAACTGCACGAGGAAGGCCGACCGCTTGCCCCGAGCAACCCAGACAGGGCTTCGCTTCTAGAGCTAGACTGATGACAGCCAACGAGCAGCTTGCTGCTAGCAACCTAGACAGCTTGATTTAACTTGGCCCTGTGTCTGCAGTTAAAGTTTTGGTAAGAAACACCTCCCCAAACCCCGGTAAAAGGAAGACGCTGCTGCAAAGGTAGACAAATACTAAGCAGAAACAGAAGGAATTTTGTCGATACATTTAGACTTTGAGCCTCAGAGGTCGTCCGGCCACCGTCAGGGTGACCTGTGGATCCCTGCAGTCCGGGGTGAGGTGACTATTGAAAGAGTGTGACTCATCCCCTTTCTTTTGCATTTTCCCAATGAAAATTTCCCTCAAAGAAATTCTAGTAGCGGAAATGATTGCGTAATTACAGCCCTGTTCTGTTGTTGCCATGTTTCCAGCTGCTATGACTATTTATTTCCCCTCAGTACCTGTTTACTTTCCAGGAGGAAAGGGTTCGCACTAAAAAGGTTGCTGGAGGAAGGTCATTTCCAGGGAGTGAGAGTGACACAGTCTGCACTGGTCCCTAGATGTGCCCACCCGTGAATTAGGAATGGGGTGCTTGGGACTTGCTGGCGCAGGGAGTGACGCCTCCACTGATTAGCTCACCTCTGGCCCCTGTTGAGGACTAGCCATGACCTCTGCCCCCTGCCCTCTCCTTACCCTTTCCCACATGGCCAGGATTGTCAACTGTGGTGGCCAAGGCAGGAGCCTGTGAAAAAAATTCTGCTTCCTGGCATTCCCCGGCGGCTGCATGACAAGTCAAGGTTACCTTGAAAGGAACGCAGAGAAGGAAAATCTATCCATCTATCAAGATGTGAGTCACCAGCGTGATGTCATCTGAATCTCAACCCGATTCCATTAATTTAGACTGTGTAAGCACATAAAATACCAGAGGAAAACGAAACACATCCAGCTACGGAGGTGCACGCACTGCCGCACAGACACGCACAGGGACGCCCACGTACAGACACACGCATTCGCTGGCCTGATGTGCCCAGGCAGCAGGCAAGAGGTCCTATTATTAGTGGAACAAGTGGAAGTGGAGAGGGATGGCTTTTTTTGGCAGCATTAATGAGGGTGACCTTCGGGTGGGGACATGCAGGCTGCAGGGAATGGAAGGGTACATGAGACCTTGGCATCCCTCTCACTCGAAGGCATGGCAAGGCTTACACAATTAGGCTTAATTATGCCTCGCTCTGCCTTCAGCGAGTGTGTTCCCTGCAGGTGGAGCCTGGCTCTCCCTCCCCACGCATTTCCCGGGCTCTTCCCTGATGCTTGAAGCCTGACTGGCCTCCAGCTATGGCTTTTGGAAGCTAGGCACCGAGGCCACCATGACAGTGGAAGGGCTGGCTCCCTGGCACTGTCTGGGTCCTCTCTGCTCCTGGAGAAGGTGAATCTCTGCCCACCGCCCAGTGGGTCTTTATGGGGCATGTGCGTCTTTTTGACTGAGGACAGCTCTGGCAGCAGAGGCCACCGAGGCAGCTGACATGGTGGCTGTAACAGCACAGGGCTGAAGCCAGGAGATGCAGGCGAGAGTCCCAGTGTTTCTGTGATCCTTAGTTTGTTCCTTTAAAAATGGGACTCAGAAAACCCACCCAGCCCATGGAGCTGCCACATATGCTGCACAGGCTGGGCACTGCACAACTTAAGGAGGCATTGGGACTCTGGTGGCAGTGGGCTGGAGCTGTGCAGAACAGTGGCCCTGCCTGCCTGCTTCAAAGGGAGTCACATGAGATAAATGATTAGTTAGCTTACTTCTTGCTTTTGCTGATTTTTCTACAACATGTCCTCTGACCCACCTGGCTGAGGGAAGGTATAACCCCATCACCTCCCTCTTGAGTCAGAGCCTCCATCTGGCCTCTCCTGGTCAAACTTGCCTTCTTGATACCTGAGACCTAGAGTTTCCAAGAGGAAAAGAAAGGTAGGTAAATTCTCAGTATCCTTGGCTTTGTTGGAGCAACAGGACTTGCTGGATACTTGCACCTTTTGGAAGGGCTTGAAGGAGGCAGCATACTGTATGGGGAGGGGAACTTAATTCCAGGGTGGAAAGAATCGAGCAGGCCAGAGGGCAAATGAGCACATCCCATGTGTCTGCCTTCCCCATGGACCAGTCAAAGCCTTGCACTCCTACCATGTGCCTCTGTCACTCCTAAGAACAAATGCAATACTTAACACTCCTTTTAGTTGTGAGTTTCCACTTCACCCCTCAATCACCCTGAAGGCTTCTCCTGCTCTGTCCTTCTCCATCTATTAACACAAGTGGGGAACAGTTGGGTTTGCATCGTGAGGAAGGTGCTGACCAGAGCAGGAACCAGCAACTGCATGGACTCAGGCCAGGCACAGTTAAGGGCTGTTATCCATCAGAGTGAGCCCAGAGGCGACACCTGGGTGTTTGGAAACTGGGCCATCATGGGAACAAAAGAAGATTCTGGGGAGTTCATTCAGCCTTGGAGAAGAGTCTCTGCATAGAGAAGAAACCACACTCCACCAAGCTGTGCAACAGAATTACCCCGAAGGCTTTTGAAACACATAGTTTCCTGGGACCCATCCCCAGAAACTCATTCAACAGATCTGGAGATGAGCAATAAATCTGTACTTTAAAAAGCAAGCATTTAATTTTAGGATAATTTTAGATTTACAAAAGCGTTGCAAAGACAATTTGTATTTTAATCCTCTTTTAAATTGTGAAACATAAAGCACATATAGATAAGTGCCCCCAACAAAAAGCATAACTTGATGATTTATCTCCAAGCGAACACCTGTGTTGTCAGCATGACACTACGAAGCTCCCCTGAGACCCTGCATTTTCCTTCCAACCCAAAATTTTGCCACGTACACATGCATCCATAAGCATGGTGGTTTCATTCTTCATCCCTAAACAATTAGTTTAATTTTACCTATTTTTGGACTTGTATTAGTGTAATCACAAAGTAGGTATTCCTTTGAGTCTGGCTTCTCTTACTGAAAGTGAGTCAGTCACACGTGTTACTTTGTATAGTTACAGTTTGTTCTTTTTCATTGTTCTATCTGATACAATGTGCTACCCAATACAGTAGTCATTTGAGCACATTTGTGGCTATTTAAATTTAAATTAATTTACATTAATCAAAATGAAGAATTCAGCTCCTTTTTTGCGTTCGCCACATACAAAGTCCTCAACAGCCTCATGTGATGAATGGCTACCAAAATGGACATGGCAGAACAGAAAATTTCCATCATCACAGAAAGTTCTTTTGGACAGCTCTGCTCTAGAAGTTTCAATTTTATAAATATATCAAAATTTACTCATTCTACTGTTGATGGACATTTTGGTTGTTTGCAGGGTTTGCCTAAGGTGAATAATGCTGCTGAGAATGTTTTTGTACTGGCCTCTTGGTGCATATGTGCAAATACTTATGTTGAGTATATAGCTAGGAGTAGATGGTAGGGTCATAGGTGTGTATATGTTCAGCTTTAGTAGAAAATGCCACAGTGTTTTCTTAAGTGTCGTACTAATTTATGCTTCTACCAGAATCTGTTTTCAAAAGCATACCAGGTAATGTTGAAGTTCAATCTAGTTTGAGATCATTGCTTGATTTTGTCTTTATACAAGAAAGAATTTTCTGATGACTCATCTTGTTCAACAGTAGAATGGATCCTCATGGCAAATACCTCATCAGGTAGTGAGTGTCCTGTTTTTAGAGGTATTCAAATTGATGCTGTGCAACTCTCTGACACAGCAGCTTTAAAAAGAACCCCTGGGCTGGTTGCAGTGGCTCACACCTTGGGAGGCCAAGGTGGGAGGATCACTTGAGGTCAAGAGTTCAAGACCATCCCGAGCAAGAGTGAGATCCTGGCTCTACCAAAAATAGAAAAAATTAGCCGGGCATGGTGACACATGCCTGTAGTCCCAGCTACTTGGGAGGCTGGGGCAGGAGGATCGCTTGAGCCCAGGAGTTTGAGCTTACAGTGAGTTATGATGATACCACTGCATTTACCCAGGGTGACAGAGAGAGATCCTATCTCAAAAACAAACAAACAAACAAACAAACAAAACAATCAAACCAAAGTCATTGCATTGTGATGTACCAAATTCTTTCTAATTATAAGTGTCTCTGATTTCATCCTTTTTCGTGGCTATGTTTGGATGGATACATGCTGGACAGTGAAATTCTTCATAGTTAAAAAGCAGAAGAGGGAGAGGGCTGATGCTGGAGGCCTGGATTAAACACAAATTGGATCGTTAGTCCCTGAATAATCGAGTTAGTTGTCCCAATGATCAATGAATCACCTCTCGCTCTCTCTAAACCTACTGTTCCTGCTTGAGCTCATGGGATAATGGCAATCATGACTTCTTCAATGTCACCCTCTGCAGACATTTATAGGTCCTCTTTATTTCTATTTTAATGGTTTTATTGGATATGTGCCTATTATTGTAACAGTCTCAAATCATTTTTGGAAGCAGGTGTGGCATAACTCATAACACTGTAAAAATGCCCTCGTCCCACACTGCCTGGCCATATGTTTTCGTCTGTCTCCATGCTATCTCCTTCCACCTGTTCTTCCTGCCTGCTGCCCCCCTGGAATTCCCTTCTACCCTTGAGGGGTTTGGAAATGAAGGGATTATTCTAGGTCACCAGAGAAATAATCCTTCTACCCAGGCACTCAAGAGGCTGCCCTTGGGGATAGAATGCCTTCCTTTTTAACTCACTTGAAGACTGATTGTTTCTTGTAAGAATGCTGTTAGGGGATTTGGGAAAAGGTCTTAAATCTCGCTGGGTATGTGTGAGTGATGAGGTTTCAGAGGGAAAATGAGAAGTGGGCAGATCTAATAACCTGGGTCCCTGCTTGGCAGCAGGCTCTGCTCTACCTCTGAGATTCTAACAGTGTCCAGCTTAGGGTGTCCTTCCAGTTCCCAGATAAACTTGCTGGTAACTGTTTGGCCAACCCCTTCCAATTGGGATACCAAGCAACCTGTGGGTATAGGTACAACTGGGCCAACGTAGAGACGGAATCATGGTGCTACCAGATGGTGGCAGCTATCACTCTAGCTCCACAAGGTTTGAACTAAGGAATGAGTTAGGCTTTGTCCACATCATTTTATTCTATTTTTTGGATGAAAGGGGCCCATTGAGTGATCAGAGAGAACCCCAAAGAAATAGCCTTGGGGCTTCTGGGGTGGTCTGGAGCTCATTCTTAATCCTGTTGATTTTTTGTTTGTTTGTTTGTTTTTTAATTTCCTTGGAAGGGTACAAAAGAGAAGTTTCCAGAAAAAATTTGAGAAGTTGGCAAGATCAGACCTAGTGCCCATGCAGTTTTCTCTCTGTGGTTTTAGCCTGTCACTCACTTTCTTGGTCCTTGGTTTCCCTGAAACTTCAGAAACAAAGACAGTGCAAGTCTGTTGACTGCCCTCTGTCCCGGGAGACGGCTAGGCTTAATTAGCTGGTCCCCACAGGATGTTCCGAAAATGAGAAATAACCCACGATTATTATCTATCAAATGTCAAATACAAATATGTTCATGTTCCCATTATGGATGTGTGTGTTGCAAACTTGCTCAACCGAGTGTGACCCGTTGGGTTGTTTTAATTACAAATATCAATAAAATTGGTTGATATTTATGGGCACGGACCCTTCAGATCTGGGGGAAGGAAGCTAATTGCGTAAGACAGTGCCGTGATTGAACTCCAGGGGAGGCGCGGCTTCCTGCTAGCTGGGTGGGAAGCTGAGACAGCTCTGGTCTCCCTGTGTTAATTAAATGTGATGAAATGAATATTAACTTGTAAAAAAGAGTCAGAGCCAGGGACTGGGTTTCCTTGGTGGGTGGGGCTGAGGCTAGCCAGGGGGCTGTGGTTGATGGCACTGCAGGGCTATTGTTTTAGAGAAAAGCAAACATTAGCAGCAGAGTGGTTCTCAGCTTGGGCTGCAAACAGAACCACCCAGGGGCTCTAGAGCCTGCCCATGCCTGGACCACTCTGCCGGCAGTTGTCTGTGCTGGGACCTTCCCAGTTATCCTAACGACCAGCCAGGGCTAAGGACCATTAACGTAGTGAAGAAAATGCATGCTTTTGGAGTCAGACAAATGAGACTTTGAACTAGCCATGTGTCCTTGAGCTTCAGGTTTTTTCTTTCTTTTCTTTTTTTGGTCTGTAAAAAAAATGAGGTTAATCAAAGCTGCGTGGTACATCTATGATGATAAAATGAGATCATATGGGTGAAAGGGTTGGATACCTAGTGGGGGCTCTGAAAAAATTAGATTCCTTTCCCTCCTAAGATGCAAGTGCGTCTGGGCCAGGCCGGTTGATTTCAGAAGACTGCAGAGGCCTGGCGGTATAAGCCAAAGAGAATTCTTCCTGGAGCATGGCTAAAGTTGTCCGTGAGAAGGAATCATCTCTTTGGCCTCCTCATCCCCCTCATCCTCCACAAGGACAAAAGGACACGGCCCAGGAGGCCACAGACACTGAGTAAGTGGGCTGGAGGGGCTGGGCTGGGGCTGGACACCTTGTCCCCTGACTTCCAGCCATAGCTTGGTCCACTGCACTCTGGGGAAACTTGCCTTTCCCGACACTGTGAGGAGCCATGACATGGGTGCTTGTTTGCTGGGGGACCTGAGCCTCTCCCCTGGGAGAGATAATGCCTTGAGAAGCAGGGAAAGGTGGTGTGCTATGGAGCTCTGAACTTGATCTCTCACTTCTTCTCACCGTGACAGTCGAGGTTCTTCTGATTTCGCCCAACCTTCTTTATATCGGATCTTCCCTTCCGGAATCCCATGCAGCGCAGCCACACTGGGGTACTGTAACCCCCAGTAGACACCATTTTTTCCTTCTCTGAACATCTGCTCGTGCTGCCCCCCCCCCTTTGTACAACATATATGACTCACTGCCCCTAGAAGCCCAGGAGGCAATGCTTTCTTCTGCACAAATCCTTTCTCAAAATGCCTTCCTTGGGAGAAAGGGTGAGAGTAGTATGTCTGTGTCTCTGGGTGCAGACCACACGTCCTGTTTTGTCATTCGTTAGTGCCTTTGTCTCCTCCCCATTGCAGGTCCAGGTGCCAACCAGAGCAGGATGGTGCAGCGGAGCGAGCCTGGCCTTGGCATCCAGGCTCACCTGGGTCTGCGTTTCATCCCTGTCATTTACTAGCTTTGTGATCCTTGGAGAATCATTTGGATTCTCTAAGCCTCTGTTTACTCATTAATTAAAATGAGGAAATAATTCCTATTTCTCAGGACTGATGTGAGGATTAGTTTGATACATATTTATGAAAGACTCTGGCAAAAAAAATGTTTTCATAGTTGCCTGTAAAATGATTAAATGAATTGATACCAACTATTTGGCACAGATGTTTAAAAGAAAATCCCTCTCACTTACCTTATAGCTGAAAATTGCATTTTGGGGGTGGTGATGGTAAAGAGTATTTAGATTTTTTGGAGATGCTCAAATCTCAAGATATGAGTCTAAGGAAACAAAGAGAATGGACTTTGGGGTGACTTCCATGAAGCCTGCACCATGACATTTTCTTGTTATATCCTTAATACGACCCCACGAAGTGGGGATTATTTTCTCAGAAAGACAGGGTTCTAATCTTGGCTCTGCCACTTACCTAGGGACCTTGGGAAGGTTGTTTGCCTGCCTTGAACCTCAGTTTGCCAATGCATGAAATGGGAGGCCATTCTACTCACATGCAACTTACATCCACAGGAGAACAAATGCAAAGCATGCATGACAGCATCCGGCATGTGGTTGGCGCTCCACAAAGAACAGTTACACGGCTACCATTGGGATACTATTTGCATGATGAAAAGCATGTTAGCATCATCCATGGTTTCATAGCTAGCAAGAGCAGAGTTGCTGCATTAACCTTGGTAAATCTATGTCAAGTCTGATCCTCTTCCTGCTGTGCAACCCTGCCCTGTGCCCAGCCCGTCTTAGTCCCAAGATCACAACACCATTGCGCAGGACTTTGTCTTGGGCGTCTGCATTGCATCTTTGCAGAATTCTTTGATTTTGCCACCACAAAAGCCCTGTGTTTTCCAGAATCGGGCCACGCTCCTCTTTGGCAAATCCCCACCCGACTCCATTTCCCTTATCAACCTGCAGATCACCTCTCATTTGTCATCTTTATTAGCTTTTAATCTCCCATCAGTTTAGTGCTGCGGTTTAAGAGTAGGATTAGAGGGGGAAGTTTAATTGGATGATCCTCCGTGGCCCCTTGAACATCAGATTCAATAAAAGTTTATGAAAAGATAAAATCGCAAAGGGTTTTATAGCCCCAGACAGAGCAAGAGACTGCTTCGAGAACAAGGTAACTGTTTTTCAACCTCATATAATCCGTGTTTTGACTTGATTAAATGAGGAAGTTAGTTTTCCGGCTCTCTCCCTTCCTCCCTCTCTTTCCGTGGGTAACGTTATCCTTTTCCGCCTGCTGTAAGCAAGAAGCCACTTTCTGCCAGGCGGCTCTCCCCGCTCGCTTTGATTCTCCCTGACAGGAAGACTAATGAAACCTGGGTGCACCAGAAAATAACATTTATTTCACGCAGAAATATGCTGAACCACCACCGAGGGTGGCTGAGGTGATGCATTTGATGGAACAGAGGCCCGTCTTCAAGAGGGGAACGTGGTCCGTGAAGACGGAGGGAGGGAACGTGTTCCTCTCCATGAACTGCCTGCCACCCGTTCCCAACCTGCATTTCTCTAGGCTTCCTCCCTCTGCTCGGACCTTAACCTTCTTCTATGGTTCAGGCAACCGCAGAGTGAGGGGTGGGCTGAACTGCACAGTCATTTCTGTACTTGGTCATTTATTCATTCAACAAACATTTGTGTGTGTGTGCATGCCATACACCAGACGCTGTGCTAAGCCAGGTGATAGAAAGGTGAATAAGGCCCCATTGTGCTCTGAGGAGGGCAGAGTCTATGGAAGAGAGAACAGTTTGCAAGCACGTTATTTTTGCAGCCACCACAGCGGTCTAAGGAGGTGATGACTCCGGACGAGTTTTGTTGGATTCATGTGATCCTGCAGCAGAATCCGCTGTCAGGACTGGGATGATGATGTGTTCTGCGTAACAAAGGAAGAATTTGGAGTTCTTGGTGGGAATCCAGTGGGCATGGGTGGATGGGAACAAGAGTGGGGAGAAGGAGAGGGACAGGGGCAGAAATGGGGGGCACCGAATGGGGTGTTCATGTGTGGACACCCTGGGGTTGAGTATGTAAAAAATTTCTGGGTGTTGGTGGCCTAAGGACATGTAAAGAATATTCTACGATGCTCATCAGTGCTTAGTGTGAATATTTATTTATTCATCCGTTGGTTCATTTAGGGCAATAAACGCAAAAGCACAGAATCATTGGTGATCAGGAGGATGCAGCTTCCTGGGAACTTACAGAGATCTGAAGGCAGGCTTTAGCTTTCCACTGGCCGTGAATTGGGGTCCATGCCAGTCTTAAAGGGACCCGGGTGAGCTCAGGTGATATGTAGTTTACACAACTCTGCGTCGAACAGCAGGTGCAACAATGGTGGTGGTACAAGATCAATGCAGAGCTCAAAACAGGGAGTGCTCCTGCCCTGGGGAGGGAGGCGTGCATGGGCATCACAGAGGACTTCACGGAGGGGCTGGGCTGGGGAATAGAGCTGGGGTGCAAGACACCCAAGAAGAGGAAGTAGGAATGACAGGGACAGCAAGACCACCATGAACTCTGGGGTGCTGAGAAGATGTGAGCGGCTGTAGACACAGGCAGCTGGGGAGGGTGGCGCTGTGATCCTGGGTGTATCGGGCAGGGAAGACCTGGTTTTGGGTGGTGGAACACTAAGAATTTTGCTTACAAGAGGATCAGAGTAACATTTCATTTCAGAGAGATCACCCTGGCTCAGCTTGAAGGATGAATGGGAGGGAGAGTGGCACTGAGTCAGGGGGCCCAGCAGGGGGACAGTGGCCCAGGGGAGGCACTACATAGGCCTGAGCATGGCGGTCACGGTATAGAGAGGGAGGGGACATGCTAAAGCAGATGTTTGAATGGAAAATGGGAAAACTTTGCAGTTGGTGGGACGTGGGAGCAGAGGACAGGGGAAGAAGAGTGTCACGCCAGGCCTCTGGACTGGGTGCCCGGTGGGGAGCCGGGTGTTCTCTGGGAGAGGGAATGCAGCTCAGTGTCCCCTTATGTTTCCCTGATTCTTGTTCGCTAGTGGCCTCAGGGGCTTACCTTCCAGGTCAAGCGTCCTAACTGACTATTGCTGCGTAACAAACCACCCCACAATTCTGTATCATGAACAGTTGTCGTTTATTATTGCTGATGAGTTTGTGGGCCAGCTGGATGCTGGGTGACCCTGCTGGCTGTGGCCAGACTCAGCTGGTCTTGTCTGGGCTTGTTCATGCACAGGTGTTGGCTGGTCGTTGGGTGGGGGGACTTGGCCCCTTCCGCGTGTCTCTTGTACCCTTCCAGAAGGATAGCCAAGGATGTTCCCATGGGTGGGGGCAGGATTGAAGAGAGGGGCTGGAAACATGCAAACATTTTTTCAGATCTCTGTTTGGATCAAGTTTAGATCATCTCGTTCACACGGGCTCGGCTCACGGCCCAGCCCAGATCAGTGTGGGAGGTGCTCCTCGAGGGTGTGGATCCAAGGAAGCGTGAAACTCCAGGGCTGCTGCTGCAATCCATCCATCACACCGCGTCTTTCAAGAAGTATTTTCCTAAGCGAAGACTGTTCCTTCTCTAAGAGGCATCCTTGTTCCAGCTGTTAAGACAATAATTTGTTTCACTCTGCTACATCTGACTCCTGCTTTGCAAATTATTGAGCAACAAAATCGCCCAGGGTGTGACATTTTATAAGGCCTTCAGCATTTCTACATGAAAGGGGAATTTTTGTAGATCATTTATTTACTTTCCCAAATCCTATGGACAGTTCTAACCTCTCTTTCTTTTTAAAGGGTTCTGCTTAATTGCCAGGAGACTGTCGAACAGAGGAAAGAGGTAGAGCTGAGTAACTTTGTAGCATGTCAGATCTCTTGGCCAAAAGGAGAAACTGAGGCAACACGAAAGATCCTGGTGATTCTGAATTCTGACATGCCTGGCTCACACACGGTCCCCAAATTAGCACGAGGGCACACGAATCATCCACCAGCTGTGCAGGTCCTTGGGGACATTCTTCCTAGAAGGGGCCTGTTCGGGGAGCCGGGAGGATGAGAGACAAGGCGCCTTCCTCACTGTTCTCCTTCTCTGGGGAAGGGATGAGGTTAGGGTGGGGCGGTTCTGTGTTCTTATCACATCCCTTCTTAACCCGTGTATGCGCGTGGGGGGCTGGGGTGTGCGTGCTCGCATTCCCGTACACACATGCATCAACATACCTTGGGGATTTCTACTGGGAGAGAGGCAGTCTTGACACTGCTTTGCTTTGTGTTAGACCAGACAATAGGAGGAATGATTAGGGCCTTTCAGAGCAACCACCTGACAACGGTGCGAGGTGAATGTGGGCTGATTGGAGCTCCGTGTACCTCCGTCCTGATGAGCTGCGAAGGGCTGGTGGTGGAGGGGAGAGCGAGCACCTGCGACTTGCGGGACATTTCCCAGGACGAACCCTCCCTCCCATTCCTTCTCCTGACTCCCCCCCACCGAGGGACCTCTGGCTTGGTTAAATTTAGTATTCCGGCGTATCCAAAGCCGTACGATTTCTTCCAGGACTGTGCATTTAAATGTCACCCTCACTGCACAATTACCAACACATTGCGCTAATGGGGCTTGTTTAAAAGCCACGCGGCTGCAAGGGAAGCAGGCAGGAGGCACATCCCAGGAAGATACGAGGAGAAAGGCAGAAAAAGGAGGTTTGGGGTGAGGATGACAGGGCTTCCTTCTCCCAAGGTCCCCGAAAACCAGCCCGAGTGAGGTCAACCAGGAAGTGGCCTTTTCACACAATATAAAAATAAAGTTGGAGGTGGAGGTGGTTGCTGGTTATACACCCCTTCCCCCTCTTTCCACTCAGATTTGACAGCAGGTAGGATCGCTGATAGACTCGGGGGTTTCTTCCTGAGGGGTGTTCCCTGGGCTCAGTGGGGACTCGGGCCAGGGTGGCGCAGTGAACAGCTATGAAGTGAGGCACCTGGGCACACACCTGTGTGATCTGGGGCTGCCCACTTCACTTTTGTGAGCTTTTGTTTCTTATTTTGTTAAATGCAGATCATTATCTTGGCTCTGCCCACTTTGCAGGGATGTTGTGAGGATCATATGAGATGATGTAGGAAAAATCCTTAAAAAGAACGTGTCTGGGTCCATTCATGGAAGGGATTCAGGCCACCGCACAGATAGAGGGAAATGAATACACATTTTAAAAGCTAGAGAGGCAACGAAATGAAACCCAGCCCCATCACAGACTAGCTGTGTCATTTCAGGAAAGTCCCTATACCCCTTTTGTGCCTCGGTTTTCTCATCTGTCAAATGGGAGAATGACCCTCCCAGCCTCATGGGGCCCTTGTGAGATTTAAATGAGTTGAAGCATTTAGGTGCTTGAACAGTGCCTAGCAAATCATAAGCGCTCAGTTAATATTGGCTATTGTTATGTATCTTCCCTGGGGCATCCCAGAGTTCTTTCTAGAAAGATTTTTATGGGGTGATTCTGGGAACTTGAATTAACCCATGTAAAGTTCCTAGTCCTGTGCCAGGCGTGCAGTCAGCTGGTGCTCAAGATGTGCTGTTTCCTGTGCTCTTCCCTTCACATTCCACCTCTCATCCTACCGGGCCGGGAACTTTTGCTCTGAGGGTAAAAGCCGAGAGACAGGACGTATGACAATCCCTATGGGAAAAACAGATCGGTGAGCTATTGCTGTGGCCCCATTAGCCCCAGCGCAGAATTCTTCTTCGTGCTTTTCAGCCATGTTGAGAAAGAAACCCTATAAAAAACATCCACCTCCACATACAGATCTTGGGAGAAACCTCCCTCCCTAGGCCTCAGTTTCCCCATCTATAAAACGAGGTCACTTGCAAGGGCTTTTCTAAGCAAGTCCTGACACCCTTGACTTCATCGGTCCCGGCAAATGACAGGCGCCAACCCCTTTCCCTAACAGTCTCCCTGCTATTTTAGTTCTTTTTCTCTTTGTCTCTTCATCTCGGACATGCCAAGTGTTTATGTCATTTCTGAGAATCCAATAAACTGCATTATGGGGAGGAGCCGGGGAGTAACACACGGGCAGAAATCTGCTATTTTCACATGAGTGCTCTAGGCAATCAGCCATGATGGGAAATGAAATGTGTGGAAAACTACAGGCTGAATAAAGAGGGCTTTAGTGAGATGATGAGCCTTTTACTGCTTGTGCCGGCACGCGACTGTTGTCGATCTGTCAGCCCAGCGGCGGCGACGCGGCCCAGAACGGCTTCTGCCGTGGAGGGCTGGCTCCCCGTTCTCTGCCACAGGTTGCCTCTTGATGTGGAACAACCCGTGGTTATTTACCCAAGTTCCAGTACAGCTCCGCGAGGAGAGCAAGGGCCAGCCTCCTCGCAGGAAGGATTCGGATCGGGCATCAGGAATTCCTTCCGTACATTAGAAGCTGCGGAGAGACATTCCTTCGGGAAGAGACGGAATCTCCTCTGCTGACTGATGTCATGGAAGGGACATTTCAAGGGCCATTTAGAGGCAGTGCCCAGTCCTGATGACTTCAGATTGGGATTTCTCCATTTAGTGTCGAGGGGGTGCCATCTAGGTTTACAGGTGTGAGAACTGAGAGACTGAGTTCAAGGTACAGCTTAGATCCCTGCTGGCTGTGGGGTGTCAGACAAGATGATGGGCACCAGCCAGCCAGTCTCCCTGCTCCTCAGTTAGGTGTCATCGCTTCAGGCACTAAAGCTCATGCCTTTAACAAATGGGACGGTGCCCGTATATTCTCAGCCTTGCCTGCCTTCCTTCCTTCCTTCCTTCCTTCCTTCCTTCCTTCCTTCCTTCCTTCCTTCCTTCCTTCCTTCCTTCCTTCCTTCCCTTCTTTCTTTTTTAGTTAGGAGCATTTGTATTTTTTAGAGCAGTTGTAGGTTTAAAGAAAAATTGCACAGAAAGTACAGTGAGTTGCCATGTATTCCCTCTCCCCTTTCGTTAATTTCCCTTAGGGACATCCTGCATAGCTGCAGTACATTGGTTACAGCTGATGAGCCAATATTGATACATTGTTACTAACTGAAGCCCACAGTTGACATTATAGTGTATGAACACTCTTTGTGTTGTATAGTTAGATATAATGTATCCACCATTAATTACAGTATCACACAGAATAGTTTCACTGCCCTAAAAATCCTCTGGGCACCACCTATTTATGCATCCCTTTCTTCCCTCCCCCAAACTCCTGGCAGCCACCAATCTTTTCACTCTCTTTATAGTTTGTTTTTTTCAGAACGCCATGGAGCCAGACTCATGCAGTATGTAGCCTTTTCAAGTTGACTACTTTCACTTAGTCACATACATTTAAGGTTTCTTCATATCTTTTCCTGGCTCGATAGCTCATTTCTTTTTATTGCTGAAGAGTATCGCATTGCATGCACACACCGCATTTTGGTTGCTTCCCAGTTTTGGCAATTACGAATAAAGCTGTTATAAACATTCCTGTGCAGGTTTTCGTGTGGACAGAAGTTTTCAACTCAATTGGGTAAATACCAAGGAGCGTGTTTGCTGAATCGGATGGTAAGAGTATATTTAGTTGTGTAAGAAACTGCCAAACTGTCTTCCAAAGTGGCTGTACCATTTTGCATTCCCACCAGCAACGAGTGAGAGTTCCTGTTGCTCCACATCCTCCCCAGCATTTGGTGTTGTCAGAGTTTTGGATTTTGGCCATTCTAATAGACGCGCAGTGATGTCTTGTTTTAATTTGCAGTTCCGTAAGGACATATGATGCTGAGCAAATAGACACAGTGCCAATATATTTTCACTCTAGGAATAGTTTTAACAAGCTCACTTATCTGTAGTTATTTTTCCTTCCAGCCAATAGGAAATGAGAAGTGAGTGAGTAACTGGGCAGGAGAAGGAGGCGCACAGCTGACACAGGCAGAGAGCTCTCGGGCAGGAGTCAGAAGACCTGAGCTCTGGTCTTGTTGGCCATCCTGAGCTGCTCGACCTTAGGAAGTCACCTCACCTTTGGAGCTCAGCTTCCTCACCTGGAAAATGTGGCACATGTACTGGATCAAGGTTATGAAATGCTTCTCAAGCCAACACCCTCCAGCTGGAGTGACAGCCTGGGACAGGGAAAGAAAGGCTGGCCCAGCTCCAGGGGAGGAAATGTGTCAAGTCCTGGCTGAGAGGTGCTGACTTCCATGGCAGAGGTTGCAGGTGGAGACACTATGCCACATGCCTGCTCTTCTTGAAAATGACTTCCAATTTCCCTTGCTGTTTGCAATTCCATGCAACTTTAAGTGACAACTGACCACCTAACAGAAAGAAAGGGAGGGTAGACTTTAAAACACCAACACTGCAACTCAAAAAGCTTGCTAGAGTGGGTGCAGCCCATGTGGCCAGGTTAGCAGGCTCACATGCATTAGCTGCTGGAACCCAGCGTTCCCTGGCTGGCCCTCAAGCCTTGCCTGGAGGAGAGAGGTCCCATCTCTTCCTCCCCATATCCCCAGAGTGCTGCGCTGTGCCTGGCACGGGAAAGGCCTTTGCTTAGGGTCGGTGGCCATCATTCCAGGCCCTGTGAGTACAGCAGGGAGCAGAGTGACTAAAGTTCCTGCCATCATGGGCCCCCCCCATCATGATGATGTGCACGGA